GCAGAAACATTTATTTGGTTTGGCGAAAGCCTCCTAATCCTGAACATGATCAAGTTGTAAGTTATTTCACGAGAATTTCCTCCCAAGAGATCCGGCAATGGTAATGGACACAGTTTACATCACTCTGCACTTCTGTAGAATGGTGGCCAATGTTGACCTTCACATCTTGTGTATTATTTCCTTGCTGCTTCTGACAAGACCAGTATTTAGTGATGTTTTTGGAATTTTATGTAAATAAACACCAGCTTCTGTTTCAAACCTTCACCATATTTGACAGTAACCCACATGTCCAATACTGCTACTATTTTCCTTGAGACTGCCTTTCACAGTTGAGGAAGTCCTTGCTTCTGTTTCTCCGCTGACATCTGGCAGCCATATTGGCAAGCTTTGTACTTGCAGGCGGTAGAAATCAGCACATCTTCATCACATTAGAGGGTTAAGCTTGTAATCAGGTGTTGGAAAATAGTATTTGAAGAGGTAAAAGGAGTTAACTGCCATTCTCTTGTCAGGACAATTAGCACTCTTCTATTAGAAGCATGTTAATGAGATGTGTAGTGAGGAAAGTGGCACATATTTCTCAATATTAAACAAAGATGATTTTGTAGTATTAAAGCATTCATTATTCTGAGAGTTGCTTTCAGAAATCCACCAATGGCATTATCATATCAATGTCCTGAAATAAAACTGTCTACGTAACATGTTATGAAGCTTTTCTAATCTATCATTTCGGTATCATCAATTCATGTGCTTAGAGCTTCATATCAACTGACTTTTAATTCCATTTCACATTTGTTCTGATCAGTCCGTTACAAATTGATTACCAAGGGAAGGCCACATTTAAGCCTTATGCTGTAATTAAGATCTGTTGAAGGGTGTCATGTCAGGTTTGTCTGTTACTCTGCCCTCACACAGCCTAAATAGAGTGTCAATATATCTCGATGATAGTAGAGGAGTATGATGTTACTGGTACACTCACATTGGAAATGCTCATCATTATTGGAATGTTGCATCTTTCAAAATCACGCATGTGGTATAAAATGTATGAAAAGATATCTGACTGGAAGAGTGTGTGGTATGAAAAGGTATCTGACTGGAAGTGTGTCTGGTTTTAAAAGATATCTGACTGGAAGACTGTGTGGTATGAAAAGATATCTGACTGGAAGGCTGTGTGGTATGAAAAGATATCTGACTGGAAGGGTGTGTGTGGTATGAAAAGATATCTGACTGGAAGACTGTGTGGTATGAAAAGATATCTGACTGGAAGGCTGTGTGGTATGAAAAGATATCTGACTGGAAGGCTGTGTGGTATGAAAAGATATCTGACTGGAAGGCTGTGTGGTATGAAAAGATATCTGACTGGAAGGGTGTGTGTGGTATGAAAAGATATCTGACTGGAAGACTGTGTGGTATGAAAAGATATCTGACTGGAAGACTGTGTGGTATGAAAAGATATCTGACTGGAAGACTGTGTGGTATGAAAAGATATCTGACTGGAAGACTGTGTGGTATGAAAAGATATCTGACTGGAAGACTGTGTGGTATGAAAAGATATCTGACTGGAAGGCTGTGTGGTATGAAAAGATATCTGACTGGAAGGGTGTGTGTGGTATGAAAAGATATCTGACTGGAAGACTGTGTGGTATGAAAAGATATCTGACTGGAAGACTGTGTGGTATGAAAAGATATCTGACTGGAAGACTGTGTGGTATGAAAAGATATCTGACTGGAAGACTGTGTGGTATGAAAAGATATCTGACTGGAAGGGTGTGTGTGGTATGAAAAGATATCTGACTGGAAGGGTGCGTGGTATGTAAATTATATCTGACTGGAAGTGTGTGTGTTATGTACAGACATCTGACTAGGAGTGATGTGTATCTAAATGGAAGTGTGTCTGAGTAGCTGGGTTGTATCATATTCCACTGTGATGCTGGATCTGTCAACTTGAAACACACACACACACACACCTGTAGTGATGCAGTAGACATATGATGGTATTCTCCCCCTGTAGTGATGCAGTAGACCTATGGTGGTATACTCCCCCTGACATATGGTGGTATACTCCCCCTGTAGTGATGCAGTAGACCTATGGTGCTATACTCCCCCTGGAGTGATGCAGGAGACCTATGGTGGTATACTGATATAGATCAACTAGTGCTCATTGTAGCAAGATTAGACACATTAATCAAGTAGATGTGTTGGTACATTATCTTGCTTTCATTATCAAATCTATAGCAGTGCTACATACACTCAACGGAATCGGTAACTTGGTTTATCATGGTATGACACAACACTTTCATTGTGGTAATTAACTATTGACTCCAGACTGACGTTTTTACAGCTCACTTGCATACAAAAATGGGAAAAGATCGTTCTTGGTGTCCTTTTGCCTTCAACTCTGTTGATGTGAGAGATATAGATTTGCTGTGTCAATGATCTGTCAAGGGTTATTAAAGGCAAGTGCTTAAGATAACAGTGTTCCTGTAAAGATGGTAGTTATGTCCGAAGTATTGACTTTGTGTTATTACTGGGTAAAGTGGGAGGATGGGAGCAGTATTGATGATATGGGAGCTATGATGAGGCTGAGTAAATCATGTAGAGAACACCTCACAGTTGTCCATACAGTCTAATTCAATCAAGTCATGAGGTGCACTACTGGCTGGGGCACTGGGTGGAGCACTGAGTGGGGCAGTGCACTAATGGGTGGAGCACTGAGTGGGGCAGTGCACTAATGGGTGGGGCACTGGGTGGAGCACTGGGTGGGACAGTGCACTAATGGGTGGGGCACTGAGTGGGGCAGTGCACTAATGCCTGGGGCACTGGGTGGGGCAGTGCACTAATGGGTGGAGCACTGAGTGGGGCAGTGCACTAATGCCTGGGGCACTGGGTGGAGCACTGGGTGGGACAGTGCACTAATGGGTGGGGCACTGAGTGGGGCAGTGCACTAATGGCTGGGGCACTGGGTGGAGCACTGGGTGGGGCACTGGGTGGAGCACTGGGTGGGGCACTGGGTGGGGCAGTGCACTAATGGGTGGAGCACTGAGTGGGGCAGTGCACTAATGGCTGGGGCACTGGGTGGAGCACTGGGTGGGACAGTGCACTAATGGGTGGGGCACTGAGTGGGGCAGTGCACCAATGGCTGGGGTACTGGGTGGAGCACTGGGTGGGACAGTGCACTAATGGGTGGGGCACTGGGTGGGGCAGTGCACTAATGGGTGGAGCACTGGGTGGGGCAGTGCACTAATGGGTGGGGCACTGGGTGGTCACTGGGTGGGGCAGTGCACTAATGGGTAGGGCAGTGAACTAATGGGTGGGGCACTGGATGGGGCAGTGCACTAATGGGTGGGGCACTGGGTGGTCACTGGGTGGGGCAGTGCACTAATGGGTAGGGCAGTGAACTAATGGGTGGGGCACTGGATGGGGCAGTGCACTAATGGGTGGAGCACTGGGTGGTCACTGGGTGGGGCAGTGCACTAATGGGTAGGGCAGTGAACTAATGGGTGGGGCACTGGATGGGGCAGTGCACTAATGGGTGGGGCACTGGCTGGTCACTGGGTGGGGCAGTGCACTAATGGGTAGGGCAGTGAACTAATGGGTGGGGCACTGGATGGGGCAGTGCACTAATGGGTGGGGCACTGGGTGGGGCAGTGAACTAATGGGTGGAACACTGGATGGGGCGGTGCACTAATGGGTGGAGCACTGGGTGGGGCAGTGCACTAATGGATGGGGCACTGGGTGGAGCACTGGATGGGGCACTGAGTGGAGCACTGGGTGGGAGACAGTGTAATGTCTTTTGGTTGATTATCATGAACCAACTAACATGTTAGGCTATGAGATCATATCCACACTCCTTGTACATTTGATTACTAAAAATGTCTTTCTTGTTAGTGAAACAATGTTCATGTCTTTTTGTCATGGTGAATTACCCTTGTACAGCTAGCTGTATGTGAAGACAGAGAGAGTGGATATAGTGGTAGTCATCTGAAGCTCACCTGAGTCAAATGAGTTTGTGTTGTCACTTCAGTGGTCTGTCGGTCCATCCATTGTAACTGACGTTTTGTTATTATCAATGTTATTATTGAATATTTATACTAGTGCATGCTCAAGGCGCTGTTTCCTCTGAAACATCTAGGTCTAATAGTTTTAATAATTCTGATCCCATTTAAAGCAGGGGACATTTGTAGCAATACAGAATATGTCACTTTTGCCCATTATTCAATGAATGGTTGTTGCAGTTTCAGCAGTAGCGTCAGCATGTAGATGTGTACCTGTCTGATGTGTACCTGTCTGATGATGTGTACCTGTCTGATGTGTACTGTCTGATGTGTACCTGTCTGATGATGTGTACCTGTCTGATGTGTACTGTCTGATGTGTACCTGTCTGATGATGTGTACCTGTCTGATGTTTACCTGTCTGATGATGTGTACCTGTCTGATGTTTACCTGTCTGATGTGTACCTGTCTGATGTGTACCTGTCTGATGTGTACCTGTCTGATGATGTGTACCTGTCTGATGTTTACCTGTCTGATGTGTACCTGTCTGATGATGTGTACCTGTCTGATGTTTACCTGTCTGATGTGTACCTGTCTGATGTGTACTGTCTGATGTGTACCTGTCTGATGAATACCTGTCTGATGTGTACTGTCTGATGTGTACCTGTCTGATGTGTACCTGTCTGATGTGTACCTGTCTGATGTGTACCTGTCTGATGAGTACCTGTCTGATGTGTACCTGTCTGATGTGTACTGTCTGATGAGTACCTGTCTGATATGTACTGTCTGATGTGTACCTGACTGATGTGTACCTGTCTGATGTGTACCTGTCTGATGTGTACTGTCTGATGTGTACCTGTCTGATGTGTACCTGTCTGATGAGTACCTGTCTGATGTGTACCTGACTGATGTGTACCTGTCTGATGTGTACTGTCTGATGTGTACCTGTCTGATGTATACCTGTCTGATGTGTACCTGTCTGATGTGTAACTGGGTTGTTTTTGTTTCAGTGTGTACAGGAACATCCCAGGGTATTGTAGCTCGAGGAAAAGCCAGTTTCAGGTACCAAAGGTACAAGGACTCCTACACGAACTGCACATATGTGGCTGGCAACTTGGAACTTGTCTTTCTTGAGGATACAAATGAAAAGTATGACTTTTCTTTTGTGAAAGACATCAAAGAAGTAACAGGCTATGTTCTGATTGTGGCAGTTTATGCCAGCTATATTCCATTGACCAATCTAAGAATCATTCGAGGAAAGACACTGTTTCACTATGAAAGGCAATCCTACAGCTTATTTGTGGCACTTAACCACTTCCCAAATTCTCCAACCATCGGATTACGAGAACTTCGATTCACATCACTTTCAGGTGAGTCTAAGCAACAACAGAAGATGCATACACGTCCATGCAACACTTCACCTTCACATTGTATTCCAGGTACTGATCGGTAAATAGGAGATCCAAAGTGTGATGTGAATTGTTTAAGGTTAACAACCAATATCAAACTTCAAGATATAGCAGTTATATATGCTCCACAACAATCATGGTGCTTCTCAAACTGTACATCATATTCTCTCCTCCACCATATATTTATAGAACTTAACTTCTTGTGTGTTTTTGTTGTGCAGAAATCCTTGCAGGGAAAGTGTTCTTCCAAAACAACAACTTGCTCTGTTATGAGAACACCATTGACTGGGAAGACATCAACCCACAACTCAAACCTCCTGTGACCTTCATGCAAGACAATAATGACTACAAAAGAAAATGTGAGTAGGGGCACACTACAGTTGGGGTGGGGAAGAAAGACCGCAGACACAGTGTGAATAGGGGCACACTACAGTTGGGTTGAGGAAGAAAGACCACAGACACAGTGTGAGTAGGGAACCACTACAGTAGGGGTGAGGAAGAAAGACCGCAGACACAGTGTGAGTAGGGGCACACTACAGTTGGGGTGGGGAGAAAGACCGCAGACACAGTGTGAGTAGGGGCACACTACAGTTGGGGTGGGGAGAAAGACCACAGACACAGTGTGAGTAGGGGCACACTACAGTTGGGGTGGGGAGAAAGACCGCAGACACAGTGTGAGTAGGGGCACACTACAGTTGGGGTGGGGAGAAAGACCACAGACACAGTGTGAGTAGGGGCACACTACAGTTGGGGTGGGGAGAAAGACCACAGACACAGACACAGTGTGAGTAGGGGCACACTACAGTTGGAGTGGGGAAGAAAGACCGCAGACACAGTGTGAGTAGGGGCACACTACAGTGGGGTGGGGAAGAAAGACCACAGACACAGTGTGAGTAGGGGCACACTACAGTTGGGGTGGGGAGAAAGACCACAGACACAGTGTGAGTAGGGGCACACTACAGTTGGGGGGGGGAGAAAGACCGCAGGCACAGTGTGAGTAGGGGCACACTACAGTGGGGTGGGGAAGAAAGACCACAGACAGTGTGAGTAGGGGCACACTACAGTTGGGGTGGGGAGAAAGACCAGCAGACACAGTGTAAGTAGGGGCACACTACAGTTGGGGTGGGGAGAAGAAACCACCATGAGCGCCCGTGTAAGTAGGGGGCACACTACAGTTGGGGTGGAGAGAAAGACCACAGACACAGTGTGAGTAGGGGCACACTACAGTTGGGGTGGGGAGAAAGACCACAGACACAGTGTGAGTAGGGGCACACTACAGTTGGGGTGGAGAGAAAGACCACAGACACAGTGTGAGTAGGGGCACACTACAGTTGGGGTGGGGAGAAAGACCACAGACACAGTGTGAGTAGGGACACACTACAGTTGGGGTGGGGAGAAAGACCATGAGACACAGTGTAAGTAGGGGCACACTACAGTTGGGGGTGGGGAAGAAAGACCCATGAGAGCACAGTGTGAGTAGGGGCACACTACAGTTGGGGTGGGGAGAAAGACCACAGACACAGTGTGAGTAGGGGCTGCAGACACAGTAGGGGTGGGGAGAAAGACCACAGGACACAGTGTAAGTAGGGGCACACTACAGTTGGGGTGGGGAGAAAAGACCATGAGACACAGTGTGAGTAGGGGCACACTACAGTTGGGGTGGAGAGAAAGACCACAGACACAGTGTGAGTAGGGGCACACTACAGTTGGGGTGGGGAGAAAGACCACAGACACAGTGTGAGTAGGGGCACACACTACAGTTGGGGTGGGGAGAAAGACACCACAGACACAGTGTGAGTAGGGGCTGCGCTACAGTAGGGGTGGGGAGAAAGACCACGGACACAGTGTAAGTAGGGGCACACTACAGTTGGGGTGGGGAGAAAGACCACTTGAACACAGTGTGAGTAGGGGCACACTACAGTTGGGGTGGGGAGAAAGACCACAGACACAGTGTGAGTAGGGCACACTACAGTTGGGTTGGGGAGAAAGACCACAGACACAGTGTGAGTAGGGGCACACTACAGTTGGAGTGGGGGAAGAAAGACCCAGACACAGTGTGAGTAGGGCACACACTACAGTTGGGGTGGGGAAAGAAAGACCACAGACAGTGTGAGTAGGGGCACACACACTACAGTTGGGGTGGGGAGAAAGACACAGTTGGAGACACAGTGTAGACAGTAGGGGCACACTACAGTTGGGGTGGGGAGAAAGACCACAGACACAGTGTGAGTAGGGGCACGCTACAGTTGGGGTGGGGAAGAAAGACCGCAGACACAGTGTAAGTAGGGGCACACTACAGTTGGGGTGGGGAGAAAGACCACAGACACAGTGTGAGTAGGGGCACACTACAGTTGGGGTGGGGAGAAAGACCGCAGACACAGTGTAAGTAGGGGCACACTACAGTTGGGGTGGGGAGAAAGACCACAGACACAGTGTGAGTAGTAGGCAGCCGCTACAGTTGGGGTGGGGAAGAAAGACCCATGAGACACAGTGTAAGTAGGGGCACACTACAGTTGAGGTGGGGAAGAAAGACCGCAGAACACAGTGTAAGTAGGGGCACACTACAGTTGGGGTGGGGAGAAAGACCACAGACACAGTGTAAGTAGGGGCACACTACAGTTGGGGTGGAGAGAAAGACCACAGACACAGTGTGAGTAGGGGCACACTACAGTTGGGGTGGGGAGCAAGACCGCAGACACAGTGTGAGTAGGGGCACACTACAGTAGGGGTGGGGAGAAAGACCACAGACACAGTGTGAGTAGGGGCACACTACAGTTGGGGTGGGGAGAAAGACCACAGACACAGTGTGAGTAGGGGCACACTACAGTTGGGGTGGGGAGAAAAGACCTTGAGACACAGTGTGAGTAGGGGCACAGCTACAGTAGGGGTGGGGAGAAAGACCACGGACACAGTGTAAGTAGGGGCACACTACAGTTGGGGTGGGGAGAAAGACCGCAGACACAGTGTGAGTAGGGGCACACTACAGTTGGGGTGGAGAGAAAGACCACAGACACAATGTGAGTAGGGGCACACTACAGTTGGGGTGGGGAGAAAGACCACAGACACAGTGTGAGTAGGGGCACACTACAGTTGGGGTGGGGAGAAAGACCATGAGACACAGTGTGAGTAGGGGCTGTTTCGCTACAGTAGGGGTGGGGAGAAAGACCACGGACACAGTGTAAGTGAAGGGGCACACTACAGTTGGGGTGGGGAGAAAGACTGCAGACACAGTGTGAGTAGGGGCACACTACAGTTGGGGTGGGGAGAAAGACCACAGACACAGTGTGAGTAGGGGCACACTACAGTTGGGGTGGGGAGAAGAGACCAGACACAGTGTGAGTAGGGGCACACTACAGTTGGAGTGGGGAAGAAAGACCGCAGACACAGTGTGAGTAGGGGCACACTACAGTGGGGTGGGGAAGAAAGACCACAGACAGTGTGAGTAGGGGCACACTACAGTTGGGGTGGGGAGAAAGACCACAGACACAGTGTGAGTAGGGGCACACTACAGTTGGGGTGGGGAGAAAGACCACAGGCACAGTGTGAGTAGGGGCACACTACAGTTGGGGTGGGGAAGAAAGACCACAGACAGTGTGAGTAGGGGCACACTACAGTTGGGGTGGGGAGAAAGACCGCAGACACAGTGTAAGTAGGGGCACACTACAGTTGGGGTGGGAAGAAAGACCGCCAGGCAGTTGGGGTGGGGCCGTGCGAAAGTAGGGGGCACACTACAGTTGGGGTGGGAAGAAAGACCGCATGAACACAGTGTAAGTAGGGGCACACTACAGTTGGGGTGGGGAAGAAAGACCGCAGACACAGTGTAAGTAGGGGCACACTACAGTTGGGGTTGGGAGAAAGACCGCAGACACAGTGTAAGTAGGGGCACACTACAGTTGGGGTGGGGAGAAAGACCACGGACACAGTGTGAGTAGGGGCACACTACAGTTGGGGTGGGGAGAAAGACCACAGACACAGTGTAAGTAGGGGCACACTACAGTTGGGGTGGGAAGAAAGACCACAGACACAGTGTGAGTAGGGGCACGCTACAGTTGGGGTGGGAAGAAAGTTATAATGTTAGTAAAGACCTATTCCATAGAATATTAGGTTGCGCTGTAATATTTGAACCTCAGTGCATATACAGGTTATTATTAGATTGTTGTGATGAGCACAATTTGAATCCAGTACTTGATCACTAGGAGGCCTCACAACATAAACCTTGTAGCAAGTGTACATGATATGGCACTTTAAATGTATTAAATGTTAAAATGTGTAATACAAGATGTCAGATGCCATAAATGTCAGATGATTAAAATTGAAGTTGCTTTGGGAACTGCTTAAACCATCCAGCCCACTAGAGTGCATGGATTGAGATATTGTATCTGCATTAGACAGACACGTGTTGCCCCCTAGCTGGTGTCATGCCTCCCTAGATGTCATTCCACCAGTGATTTGTAATACACACCCGCAAGATTGAGATAGAGAGTTTACTGCCCCTATTTGTGTACTTGGCTGACCATGAATGGACCCAAGATTGATCCCCCCACATCGCTGCTTGTATCATTCTGCTGGCTGAACGTGTGGGCTCATGTGGGCAGCCACAGCCTGCCTCAGTCGGCCTCAGCCTACATCATTTACAGCATGCGCGGCTAACCTACAATAGTACTTCCACCCTTTATTACCATAGTTCTGATATAGTAGTCCACGTCTATGTTATAATACTGGTAGAACCATCATAGTTCCTGTTTTCGCTGTTAAGTGTCTGAAATAAGGTTGGCCAGGATTATCTATTCTGTGAACATGAAACTGATCCAGTTCTGATTTAGAAATGGAGCAGAGAAGATTTTCTGAAATTTATCTCATGGTAAAAAATGGTGACATAAATTTTTATCGCTAGTTATACTTTTGTACAGATGATGCTCAGTCTTATTTAACATGAAGGATGACATATTCAAATGGAGGTATTCAGTGTTGAGTTTTTGTCTGGCCCTGATGTTGAAGACAGTTTCAATTTTCACACTCATATTAGTAAATACTCAGTCTGTGTAGAACATGTTGATGTTGTCGAGGTAACCTGATGCTCTCTGTAATGGCTGTGCTGTGCTGGCACTGTTGGAAATCATCTTCCCAATCAGACATCCAATATGCTTTCATGGCACATGAAAAGTTGAATAATGTTCTTTGCATTCATAGATAAGCGCCTAGGTGCTGTTATGATGACAAGAAGTATATGAGATTACTGATTCTGCCCGTTGATGTGTTGCTAGGGGACAGCTTCCATACCTTGACAAGTTAGATTAGCCATCAGGTAGGATGCGTTAGAAGACAGTAAGAGAGATAGAGAGAGAGATGTGGTCAGATG